ATGTAATTAGTACAATATATATTCATTATAATCGAGATGCGACTCAAATAAACAGTTTGAATAGGTGCAGTCGTTTTCGTTACTATTCCAGTCGGAATATTGGAATGAAGGGTGAATTTATTAAATGTTTTCACCAATAGTTCATAGGTTTAAATACACGCCAAAATTATCTGTAAACTAATTAAATATTCTACTTTTAATTACTTAATTTATCCAAACAAGTGAAACGATACGAAGGATATGACTTAATAAATGTTATATAACAATACATTTTTATTAAATTATTCCCCTTAATTACATTTATTCAATCATGCGGATAATCAAATAATTATTAGAGTATGTAATGGCTATGATGCTTGAAACGTATTTTCTATTCATGATTGAAATGAAACGATTAGATTCCAACTTAACTGTTGTTTGACAGAAAAAATATTTACTAAGCTGTTTTAACTCAATCATATCATAAAATATGAAAATAATTATTGAAAATCAAGTGTGTATGTGTATAAAATATGGTATAAATATTTCGAGAGATTGAAGAATATATTACGATAAGATTAATTCTTTCAGTAAAATCACTTCACATACAAAAAACGATAGATTATATTTAGTCAAGGGATAGAATACACAAGATATATTTAATAAAAATAAAAATATTCAAGGTGATTGATTTGACTTCAAAGCATTTATACAAATTTGTTTTAGACATATATATATATATATATATATATATATATATATATATATATATATATATATATATATATATATATATATATGATAATATGATTTAATGGTTAGCTTTTACTCTAGATAAATGCTACGTCCATATTAAAAGAAAGTTTACAAAACAGGGTAACTAAATAATAGTTTTGTGCTTACTAATGACTGGCTTTAAGATTGACTTATCAAAGTTTGGTTTGGGAACTATGACCTGTAAATATGGCGGGTTCGGTAATATACACTCAGTAAATAGCTGGTATAATACGATTGGTTGGTCACTATACAGAGATAAATTTCATGTTTTTCTAATCCTTGAATACTGACTAATTTCTATCGACCAATTCGCAATGTGAACGGTAGTGTGTGTATATAGACATTGTCCTTCGATGTTAGGTGGTTGGATATATTTGTCAGAAAACCATAAATTTCATGCTAAGTGGTATTATTCAACAGAACGTGCGTACAATTTTGGGGGAATCGATGCTCTCTGATTGATGCGGAACCCCTCCACACAGCTTCAAAGTTTAAGGATTAAGCATTGAATTGTTTTAAAATTACCACGCTTTGTAAGTACTTGATCGATACAGATTCGATTTTATATGTGGTTATGAACATGTGTTGCCTATGAATAACACAACAGAATGAAATTTTCAATGGTTTACCAAATGTTAGTTCTAGTCTATTATAACCACAATAAGATTTCTATAGGATAAGGATATTTACGCTGAGTTGCAAGCAATGTTATGTTTCTCTAGTTTGTACCGTGAAACTTAGGTTCATGGCTTCAATCACCTTGAATTATTATTTAGATTCAAACTATTGGATGCAAAATTTCTTAAACTAGTGGACATATTATAATTTGATCTACAGCACCACTGATAAGCATACAAAACATTCCTATCAAACCGTCCGTTCAAATGGTGATATAGACAAGCCATCGGATATTACTTAGTAATAAATCAGGATAATGTTTTTCTTGTTGATTATCTATATCGTTCTTTACAATCCTAAATTCACATATAGTTATTCATTAGTCCATCGCAATCCTTATCTTGCAATATGATTATATTATAACAAGGTGGCTTTTATTTTACTGACTGATCTTCTAAATATAAATAATTTCAGGTAAGTAGCATATATAGAGCAAATTATACACACCAGTCAAATAGGTTTTTAAAATATTTGATTCTTAACTTTAATATGATCAGTTAGGTTACCGAATCAATACTTCTAGAATTTTTGTTTAAAGATTACTTTATATAGACCTGTAAAATGTAACTAAACAACAGTTTCGCACCTGAAAAGAGTTCAAGCATTATCGGTGGGCTTTGATTTGTTAAGAAAATATATATTCCTAGTTAGTGTTACCCAGATGACTATCTAATTTAAGGAGGTCTTATTATATATGATTACCTGGATTAATCATTATTTTGACAAGTTTAAATTCAAAACCGACTGAACTTTGTGCGATGTAGATTAATTCAAACACAGTTAAGGCTATGCAAATGTGTGTTCTAATTGGAGATAGTTTCTATGTTAAGCGAAATCTTAACATGTTGAATTACGTTGAAAATAAAGGACTATTAGATTTATAACAACTGATAGGCAAATACCTTAGTCACTGGAAGAACTATTGATATTCGGTTCTTATATGTTCATCATGGGATGTACTTATCAAAGCTCTTTAGTCTTCAGTAGTGTTTCAGCTATTATCAATACGTCATAAAATTTACCATTTACTTTAGTCGTATTCGAATATCTTAAAAATTAATATATACACATGCCTATTAAGGTACAATTTGGCAGTGTCTCGAGTAAAAAGCGCATCTTGAATCAGTTAGACAGTAACACTAGTAAATGATTTTATAAGATTCGAAAGGGAGGTTACATTTGTCATAATATGTACGTAATAATTTGAACCTGTATATTAATGAGTACTACTGATTTTATTTGGAATCAAACTCAAGTATATGAAAATTTGTGACAATTATAATATAACCTACACAGAAAATGATTATCTCAACTATTATCAAGACTCAATAGATGTTCTCTTCAATACAACTAATTTCCCCTAAATCATATTAGGGAAATAAAGGTAACTTAGGTGGATCAACTAATAATATTTTTATTAAATGTTAGTTTATAGATATTTTTATACATATATCTATGGCTATTACTATTGTGTAGTGCTTATATTCACCCAGTTTCAACCTGAAACATTTAGAAAGAAGATGAAGTAACTTAGTTTTTTCTAACAACGCTTTCTAAGTATCTCCTCAAGTCGTCTGTTTACGATATTTTTGTTAAGATAACTCACTATATATTTGTACTTAAAGTGTTCAATATAATCATTATAGTTTACTAGACTTGCCGTTTAAATAAGAAACCATTATAATTATATTTCTTATTATTATTAACTGGGTCAGGATCAAAGATAACCATTCTATTTTAAAAAGCAGTATCATTATACTACTTAATAAGTAGACTAAATGTAATAGACTATAATAAGTAAAATTTAATTTACTTTAAACTTTTTCTTAATAAATTGGATTTTTCATAGGATTAAATTAGTTTAAATTTTAATGCACATACGTATGAGTAATACATCATATGAAATATAATTAAATTCAAGTCATTGTAAAATACATCCATGTCGTAAAGTATTTGGTGGTGTGTTAACAAGTGAACTGATTCACAAATGAAAATTATATTAACTTGTATTATCCTCAATAGTAATACAAATTTATTCGTAAAATAGGTTCACTCTTTAAGGATATTGGTTAACCAGAATTTCTTTGTGTTTTCGGGTTACTCTAACTAAAATGTTGGATATAAGGCTGTAAATTACAGTTGATACAATGTATGAGGAACTTTCATATTGATAAAACCCTCTTCTGTTCCAGATTTCAAGTCTAACCAGTAAAGTACTGACGACAAATATGTTTTAACTGGGGTAAAATAACTCAAATATTTATTATCGCTTTAGTGTAAAATGAATTTTTGTTTTGATTTTTATTGGTCGATTGTAATTAGTTTGTTACAATCCATAAGTCGAAAATTTCTAACTAAAATCAACATGTCAGTTTAAATCTATCAATTGCAGACAGGCACCCAGAGTTAATGAAATTTTAAATACACTAAATAAATAAGCTTAATGTTTAGTATATTACTCAACTCACTTTAAAACAGTATGTCTAACATAAACATAGATATAATTACCATCTGTATTGTATTTAATAATTAATGAACTAACAACCAAACAACTAATTTTAACCGTTCTATAGTTATTAACCATGAATTTTTTATAGAATTTATGTTGAAATCATAAAGTTTCTAACATGACTTGAACCTAATGATAGTAAAACTAAAATAAGATAGAAAAGTGAATTATCTCTTATTCATTTACATACATGAAGAATGGATAAAGATTATAAATAATTGAGATATCACTGATTAACCGATACTTCTGATTCTGAAAGTAATTGTATTCTTTAATGAAAATGTATTTAATTTAATCTTAGAATTCGAAATGAATAATGTATAGAGTTGTATTCACTATTTATCCTTATAGTTTATACGGGGATTTTTACCTTAGTTAAATCTATTTTATAATTAATCATAATGATATTATTGTTGAATGGTGTATAAATGTTAAAGATGAATATAATAATACCCATAGATTTAAATTCATTAGATTTACAATTGAAACTTCTTAAATATTATTTTAATTCATTGATTATATCTTTTTTACACATTTTGCAAGTTCTCTTTTTTAGGACTTGAGTTTTTATTTTAATAATAATAATAATGAACCTTAAGTTACTTTTACGTTAGTTGTACAAAATATCATGCAATTTTCTTTAACGGTTACTTGACATATAGTTTATATCTTTTAAGACTTAAACATAATGCTTGATTCGTAATCCTAACCCCATTTGCAAACGTCATTCGAAAAACTAAGCCTTTATGAAAATTATCCATACAAGTAAAATGAAAACATGTCTTGTAATATTGACAGATCTAGGATGAAAATGTTGTCTTGCTTAATATACTAATGATCTATTAGCATTTTTGTCTAAATAACACTGACTTTCAGAGGAGTTAAGTAAGGATTTGTTGCCTAGAATAGTGTAAGGAACTTACACGTTACGCCGTTTCTAAAATAAACTTTTTGATCAAATTTATGTTGAAAAACATTAGGATAGAGTAAAATACATTAATTTTATTAAACGAATGTTACAATGTTTTAAAAAGAATGTTATAAATTTTTATTTCAGTTGAAATGTTGTGCTGTTGAAGATAATCAAGCAGATTTATATCTCCGTTCTGTTTGGTATTCACGTCAAATACATCAATCTTCAGTATTTGGAACAAATTCAATACGATTAATATCTCAAGAATATGATAATAATTTAGGAATACCAAGTGTAGCAAATGTTCCATTATCATGTTGTGTATATTCATTAGAAACTAAAGAATTTTCAAATCGTACCGCTTGTCAAATTGGTTCTTTAAAATCTAATTTAAATCCATATCTCAATCCTCATGTAAGTTAATTTTGTTGATTAATCAACGTTGATTATTCATTATATAACTAACACTAATTGTCAAGAAGTTGTTTTATATCTAAAAATCAGTGATAAAAATTAATTATTCGATGAGGCATATAAATTGTGATCATAATTAATTTTTTCTCCATCCAAACCAAAAAAAAGTTAATTTATTAAACTAAAAAAATTGTTTCAATCTTCTTTTATAGAATGAATATAGTCAAAGTTTCTAAACAAACCAATCCTGTATAAAGTATGAGTTCTTTTTTTAAATATTTTATTGGCCTAGTAAAAAGACCATTTATTTTCGACTTCTGTTTAATTGTTTAGTTATTTATATTGAATTATTTTTATGAAAAACAAACAAACATAGAATCTACTTTTTCTATCGGTTCAATAGATAGTTATTCGTAAACACTTTTTATTAACAAAAGATAAGGAAGGTTACTGATGGTAAGACTATATGTGTATATACGTGTAAAAATAACCAATAAATTAAATAATAATTGTCTAGACAATTCATGTGATTTACAATATGGGTGGTAATTTCTATTAACATAAATATTATGGACATATTTAGTTTGGTTGCATGGTGGCGCCATATGGCAACTAACAAACTGTTTCTGACAGCATAAGTTAGGAGATTATTTTGAAACATGATCTTAAATGTTTTTTCTCCTTATTTGAGTTTACTTTCAAAGGGAAAAATACAAGTCGTTTAAGCTGAGTTCGCTGGTAATACAAGTTTCACTGATAATATGGGCTTAAAACCATGATACACTCTAGATTCTATAAAATTACATATTTTCACCTATGAGTGTTTAAAAATGTCTTGAAAGATGATTGAAGAGAATTTATGTTTCAAATAATACATGCTTTATTCATAGAAAACGATAAACAGTATTCCTTGCTACAATTTTTTTAGTCATAACTATGTTTACTTGATCAGTAACAAGCAATAAACTGTAATGTTAGGACAGCATAATATCTGTACAACTGTGAGCAAATAGTCGTAAAGAAAGAATTTTAATAACTCCATTTTAATTTTAGTGGCTATTTAACGGTTATTTTGTAAGTTGTTTACTGTAAAGACGAATTTACTACAAGTTCTTTCTTAAAACTGTCATCGTCTTTTACTATATTGTAAGGAATTATCTTAAAACATTAGCATAATGTTTACCCATGAAGCAGCTGCTGAGCTCGTTAAAGCCATCTTCATTTTTAACCTCGCCTTTCAACGATAATAGAGTTTGCATATATATCGTTTCAATATATATGTTTTCTACTTTACGTATAGTATATATTATTGTTGTGGTTCACAAAAGTGTATAGCCAGTGTTTGACATCGTCAAACATGCGTGAAGATTAATAGGACTGATAATTCATATTTTTCTATATTTGATTTAAGAGATGTTGGCATTTAATTATGAAAGTGTGCTAAGAATGAGGGTCGAGTGTCTGTCTCTACCTATATGAAATCATAATGCCAATTTGTTTTCGAGTTAACTGGAATATATTGAAGTGCATTACTAGGTAGATATAATTATGTAGAGAACACTCTATTCATATTCTTAACAAAATATCAATTTCGAAATTTTGATACGTGTTAATATTATGCATCAGCAAAAATACGCATATTCATGTTCTCGATACTGACATTATATTAAATTACTATAAATACTTATTTACATAAAACAATATTTGACTGTGAGCACTATTAGATGTCTCGCCATACTGTGATTTAAGTCCAAAACATTATTGGTCGAAATTTTAAGATAGGAAACACTTTTCACAGGCGCTTATATTCCAGCATTAAATGTCATATTTGATGTTAGTAAAAGTACAGTCTGTTCATTCATGTACTAACTAGATGAATAATGTGACTATAATAATAAATTTATATTGAAAAGTCAATGGTATTCACTTCCTTGTTGAAGTGCTCCACGTACATTGATAGAATAATGACGGAACTAGTCAACCAGACGTTTTTTAACTGTCTGATTTAATGAGAAATTATGAGTGTGGGGTTGTGGAGACTGTTAAGTTTTTGATTGAGATCATGAATCGATCGATGTTAGACCACCATTGAAAACCTGGGAACACTGGATTGCCGTTTTGTCCAAGTGTGGGACTCCTCAGAAGTGTTCACCCACAACATCACGCGCGGGATTCGAACCTAGTACATTCGGTTTCGTGTGCGAACGCTTAACCTCCGGACCACTGAACTGGTATCCAACGTTGTTAATGTCTAACCACAACTAATCTACTGTGTTGCGCGACCATCTTTCGTTGTGTGAGGTGGATGTCTGTCTCTACCTGACACGGGTTAGCTCCACTGGATGCGCACTGCTATGGAGTCCCATATGTTTTTAATATATTTATCAGTTATCGAGTAAGTAAGAAAAGAATAGCCTGCAGATGAATGTGATTTCGAGTTTCGTGAATTAGGTGAATAGTACTTCACTGGCAGATACATAGTAGAATTAAGAAATTAAGTTCAATAATTTTTCAAATGTGATATTTATAACTGTTTTCAGTAACCACCATCTTTAATTTATTTGGATAATAAATTTTGCTAAAAATTCAGTGACTTTATACTTATAACCGACCTGATTCATATCGCTAACTTATTTACTCAATTCGATTGCCCCTCATGGGACAAAGCCCACCAACTGGCAATCTCTGACCAACTCTTCCTTGGTCTTTCCTTTCTATTTTTTATCAAGTACTGTTGATTTTACTGCTGTTTACTTCTGATTCCCAGTACAATTTATTTATTGGTTTACCTCTTTCTGTTTTACCTTAAGGATTCCAATTTAAAACTTGTTTTGTAGTCTCATTTGACAGTTTCCGTAAAGTGTAAACTATCCATTTCCAGAGTCTCCTCCCGAGTTTCTCTTCATCTATAAGCTGATTTATTCTCCAATATGGTTGATTACTGCCGATGGTCTCTGACGAATGGATCTATGATATATTACTTAAACAAGTTTATAATGATCTGTACCTTTTTGATGGTAGTTGGGGTAGAGTGGACGGTACTCACAAATTTGTTTGTAAGTAGCATGCAGAGGTACGTGGAGTCCAAGTTGCAACAGTTATCAGACGAAGAGAAGGGTCTCACAAAAGTGAAGGCACAGCGTTGGCAAAACACATAGAGACAGTTCAGAATACAGAACACGCCAAAAAATATAAATAAACGACTGAGGGCTATGTATGTATATAGTGTAAACCGTTTGCAACGTCATACACAAAATAAAGATTCTTTCTGCCAGCTACCTTCTTCAACAGTGGCAGTTCTTCGGGTTTGAGTTCCCCACGATGGAAATGATTTTAACGTTAATATTGAGTATTCTGATTTTGGTGTTGGATGATGGTTGCTTTGAGTCTCGAATATTCTTCAGTTTTGGAACGCCATCCTTGCAATGCCAGTGTTCACTTCCACAATTCAGTCCATCGTTGTAGTTTCGTATGATAGTGATTATATTTTCAGGTACTCCATAGTACCGAAGACGATTCAGTAAGATTATCCTATCTTTACTGTAAAATCCTTTCTTAAAATCAAGGAAGTTTACGAATAGAGATGAGTTTCATCCAGTCGACTGCTCAACAATGCAACGAAGGAATATTTGTCACCATCTCCTTTTGAACACATAAATAGTGTTTTTGATACCTGATAGCAAAAGCTTCAGCAAACTCCAGAAGAATGAAGCTTGACTGTTTACTGATCACTTTTAAAGATTGCTAGGTATCTACTTGGTGTCCTGTATTCGAAGTTGAAATTCACTTGCTAGCACGAATTACAAAACAAGAAACGAACATTTTGTACTCAAAAATTATAAAAAGCAAAGATGCAGTAATTCCACTTTCCACTGATGACAAGACCTCTTAGACAGGGTCATATTTGCGTTTCAGCAGCTTTGTCCCTTCTCATATAAAAGAGGTCTTGTTAGAATGTTGTTCTGAATGGTAACCAAACTTTTTTCTGAAGATTACCTTGATAGGTAAGTAGGAAACATTCAACGAACTTTAGTCGAGAACAAACGTTAATTAATAAGGACTTTAATTTATAAAATAAAATTCCACAACAAGGCATTATCATTGAAAGGAATAAATTTGTCGGAACTTCGTTTAACGAGAATAACTATCTTCATTTAAGTCATATTATTACTTTCAATTTACAGTTTTTATTGTAATTATTCTTATTATTTAAACACCACCCGACGAACTGTTTTATTTCTTGTCAATATAGCCTTCCAAATGACTGCGTCTTTTTATACCATTTTCAAATATTATCACCACTATTGTGATTACCATTATTATGATTACTTTATTTACCACTGTCTTTTAGCAGTTATTTTTACCATTCTTAATTGCAATAATCAGACAACGTTTTTGTAGTCGATTACGTCATGACCGCTCTTTCTTTCTTTCCTGTTTATTCCATCCATCCATTCAATAAATTTGTAACAAACCAATAGTGTATTAAATTAACTCACACATAAAATAATACTTGTAAAACATTTTATTTCTTCATAAAAATCTTGAGTACAACAAATAAAGTGAATTTACTTCATCCTAAAATGTTTATTGTTTCTTTTTTTGCAAAAGTTTGCCATAGAAACTAATTACATGAAATTGGGAGAAGTTTAGACGCCTATATGCCTACTCAATGACTTTTTATGGAGATCTGTAGCAAGAAAAACTAGCTTAAAGTTAGTATAGTGAAATGTATTATTGTGACTGCTAGATCTAAAGGATTTTTTTATACACACAAACTACTTGTATTATGACCTACTCATTCATCTGAGTTATTATCACATTATTTCTAATACCATCACGATTGGTTTTTACCAACAACACTTTTATTTCAGTGGATGTTTGTCACACTGATCGTTTCTCATCATCTACAATAACAACTTTATTTCTTATCTCATGATTAAGTCACATTATATTTGTTATTTTCATTATATGACCATTAATCATTGTTGACCATTCAC